GGCCATATGATAATTATATGTATTTCTGAAATACAGGCTAAAGAAAGGTTAAAGCTTCAATTTTTTGAAATTGGTGTATCTTTCAAATGGGTTCAGGGAAACATCAATGAGTTAGAAATCAATTGTTATAATGAGACTTACAAAATTGGTAAATTTTTATTTATAATAATTTATAATTTTAAATTTAATTACTGATTTTAATTAATAGTAATCTTGTTATTAATTAAAGAATTACAACTAAAATATATCATGCTGCAAATTAAAATTACTGGAATATAAAATATATCTGTACTTATACAATAAATTAGAATATTTAACATTAAGTTTTATACTAGCTAGAAATAAATATAAATTGTTTTATATACATAATAATAAGTAAAGTATTATTAATAATAAATTCTTCAAATATATTTAAAAACTACATATATAAGCAAAAAAAATTTACAGTATTTAAATTACTATTTGATAATAATAAAATTTGTAAATCTATACACATTCTATATTATATATAAAATAATTATAAATATAGTTTTATTTGTTGTTAGATTTATTAAATAAAATATAATAATTATATGAGAATTAAATGATGATTTTAAAAAGTCATATAATAGCGTTAGTAATATAATTATATAATAATTATAAATTAATTGTATAATAATTGTAAATTAATTGTATTATACTAATAAAATAATTTTTTAATAATTTTATAAATAATCATAAATTAATTGTATAATAATTGTAGATTAATTGTATTATAATTATAATATAATCTTATAATAATTTTTATAATAATAATATAAGAATTATAAACTTGTATTTTATAATTATTATATAATTATTATAAACTTTAATTATATTATTATTGTAATATAATATTATTATTATTGTATCTTTACGATGAACTTAGTAAGCTTAAAATAATATAAAATTATTGAATCTACATTGTAAATCCCTTAGACAAAATCAGTAGCTTTCTGTAAAGAAAAGAAACTTTTATATAATAAATTTATTTTTGCTTAATATGTATTACTAAAAATATTTCTATGCAAAGATTTGTAAATTCATGCATACAATTTACTAATTTATTAGCAAAATTTAAAATTATATAAACTTAAATTTTATCATCATCAAGTCCACTTAAACTAAGTTCTCTACGTAATTTCATTAATTCAAGTCTTTCTCTTTCAAGTTTAAGTTTTCTTTCTTCAATAGCTAATTCACGCTCTTTATCTAAATTTACTCTAGAAGTTTCAGATAAATCAGCTTCAATTCTAGGTTTTTTAAATTGATTTTTAATTTGTGAATGAGTAGTATTTGTTATTGTTTGATTAGTTTTTACTTTTTCTTTTACTTTGTTCTTTTTTTAATATACTATCAAAATTTATTTAAAGTTAATTATTAAATTAATAAATTAAATTTATAAAAATTAAAATTTTAAATATACTAACCCGCTCTTTTAATTGATTGTTTTTCTCTTGCAACTAATCCTCTATTTTTTCCTGTTTTGGATATTCCATATGTTTTTTGAACTGTACAAGTTATAAAATATCTCTCATCATAATGTTGTGCTCTAAATAAATTAATAATTAATTAATTAAATATTATAAATACTATACAATTAAAAATTAAACCTTACTTGATAATTGCATTAAGTAAAGATAGTGATTTTCCATCCCTGTTTATGTTTGCATGAATGACTCTGCAACATTCGTATTATCAGGTGTCATATACTATGTTTCAAGATCAATATAGGAAAATGCTAAATTTAATGATGCTTTAACCCATGAAGTTGTATAAAAATTAACCCAATCTATTTAAAATAATTATATATATAATTTAAATTTATATTAATTAAAATTATATTTTAAAATTTTAAATTATTTATTACCTTTAATATTTTTTTCTTTT